ATCGGCTCAGAATTACTCCTCAAACAAAAGTCTTCTTGGACAGTCATGCCTACCTGTGGTTAGAAATCAGTAACGAGTAAAAAGAAAGGTTTGTTTTTCCTAGCATCGTGTTTGTTTAATAACAACAACATGAATAGGACAAAAAAAAAAGAAAATACAAAGGTCTTTACAGAAAGCATTCTGTTCCCCTCACTGAAAGCACAGTAGATACCTTGAAAGACTGCAGTAGCAAGAGAGTGACCTGAACTTCCGTTATCAGCATGACCCCTGAACTTCCATTTCCTCTCATTCCTTCTCGTTGTTTTCTTCTATGCTCTCCATATACCCTACCATTTAATAAACTCCACTAGTTTGTCTGATGGTTTTTTATGCTCAGATTCAGGTTATACATCTTGGCAGGAATATGCCAGAAGTGGTGTTGGGTTCTTTCATTGTACCCTGTCAGGTGGCACACAGTTTTGATTCATCCCGTTACTGTTGGTGTTCACTTTGATTATCTAGTTAAGGTGGCATCTGTGAGGCCTCTGGCAGACTTTTTTCCTCTTTATAATTAACACATGTTTTGAGGTGAGATACTTTGAGACTATATAAACATTCCATTCCTCATCAAATGTTCAATTTATGAGCTTATTCAGTGGGTTTATATTCTGTTACTCTTGTAGTTTATTTTGATGCTCAAATTGTCCCAGATTTTACCAGTTGAAGTCCCTTCTAACTGGCTTCTGCATTTTTGTGGCATGTCTCCATTACTCTTTCAATTCTCCATTACTTTCTGGTACAAGAACATGTTCCAGGCTCATCTTGTTTCTGCCCCAGCCCTGGAACCAGCCATTTCCCCAAGGAGCCCTAGTCCCTTTTAGTGGAAGATGCTAATAGACTGCAAAATCTGGGTGCTTGGTGTGCTGGTCTTAGGTCTTGTCGATGGACAGAGCTGAGGAGAATATATATGTCTCTATGTATGTGTACATGTAAATATATGTACTCATTTATATTTATATCTGTTTGTCTGTCTCTCTAGAAAACTGAGTTCACACTGGTAACTCCGATTTCAGTCAACACTGCAGTGTGCATTTCTAATTGTTTCTCTTTTCATATGTGCACTCCTTGTCTCTGACAGTGAGAACCTGGTTCCCATTATCCTTGATCATTCTGCTATATGATCAACCACTCTGCCATTGCCACCACATCCCCCTTCATGGGGGGCCCTCCTCAGCCCTTTGGGGCTTCAACACCCTGTCTGGGCTTCTCTCTAGTGTACCCTGCCCCCTCCCACCCTTCTCAAGCTCCAGCATACCATGTCAGGCCGCTCCCAACATCTTTGCGTGGACACTGCCCTCCTCACCCTGCTCAGACTTCAGTATCTCAGGCCAGGCTGCCCCTCCTGCCAAGTGGATGCCCTCTCTCCCTGCCTCTGGCTTCATATCCATGCACAGGGCCATCCTTCTTACTTTACCTGAGCTCTGACAGCCTGCAAAAGACCTCCCTCCATTCTACCCCAAATCTTTGAAGCCTATATGGAAGAATAAGAAGACATCGACAGTCTTTTACATAAAAAATATGTAGGAAAGCATGGTTTTCTCTTATGAAATTAGAAGTGTCTGGAATTAAAAGTGCATATGGCTCAGAAATTTTATTTACCAATTCATCGAACATAGAATTATTGAACTACTGAGTGCCAGGCACTGAATTAGGCCACTGAGGATAGGGCAGTGAACCAGACAAAGTCCCTTCCCTCATGAAGCTGCATTCTCTGACTGGCTGCTTAAGCTTAGACAAGTTAGCAACAAATTAAGTCTGTTTCTTCACATGTCAAATGGAAATAGTAATTTTTCTCATGGGGTTGTTGTAAAAATAATGTAAGAAGAATATCTAACCCAGAGTTGGTTACTGTTATGATCATCAGAGAAACAATATACAAGTACCTTGGCTGAAGCATTATTGATCACTCTAAGAATGATTTCATATTTTGAGGGGAAACCAAATATTACTGGCAGGAAAAATGACATCTACTCTTTCAGTTATTTTCCTTTGCTTTAGCATACTTTATCTAAGATACTCACTTTAAATTGTGTGCTTGTGCAATACAGAAAAAGTTGAAAATCACATGATATCATTTACATGCGAGATATAAACCTAAAAGCAACAAATGAACAGGACAAACAAACAGAGACTCAGGGACATGGACAATCGGCTAGTTACCAGAGGGTGGAGGGAGGGAGGAGGGGAGAAAGGGAGGTTGACGGGGTAAATGGGGTCAAATATGTGGTGACAGAAAGAAATCTATAGGAAGTGAACACACAGTGTAAATATATATGTGCCTTGCTGTTAAAATGTACAGCTGAAACTTATTGAATTTTGTTAACCATTGTCATAAAAAAAATAGTAATTCAAAAATAAATAAATAAATAAATAAATAGTGTGCTTATGTGTGCATCAGTCCTGTTTCCTGAGCATCAGAATATAATACAAGAGTAGATAACCAAGCAGCATGACATTTGTTTGCATGTTTGAATCAGGTGACGGTCTAATAGATGAGACATCATTGGGCCTGAGAGACATGATATATTCATATATTTGGAATACAATTAATGAAAAGGTAATTATTATGCATTATTAGAAGAGAACATTTTGTTGCATGGTAATTTAAGTTATACAATGACTTGTTTTCTAAGGGAAGGTGATGATTTAATATTAAAAATATGTTTTCTTTTTAACTCTTACTAGCTGCTGGTAGTAGAACCCAAATGATGATTGCTACTGAAACCGATACATGTAGTAATATCTAGATTACTATATTAGCAGTGGTATTTAAAAACATATACCATGTAACTTGTAAAACTCTAGAATGATATTTGCCCTGGAAGCCATGCTTTCTGTCACTAGAGATGTAACAAGTCTAATGTTTTCGGTGTAGGCAATCCTATTTTACTTTATAAAATATAGTGGAAATTTTTGTTGTGATGTTTTATATTTGTGTGGCTTATCATTGAATCTTGGGAGTAACTGTTCTATAAACATAATTATAGTAATAATTATAATAGGGACTCTAGGAATGCAGAATGAAATACAAATCCCCATAACCTAGGGCCTGGTGAAATATTCCCCACTCCTGAATTTCATACTGGGAGATCATTTGTCATTGTTCATTGAGATACCAGCTATGGTTTATATTTCTTTGGTTCTTTGTCAAATTTTTCATAAGTGTATTTGCTAAGAACTAGGAAGATTTTCCCTTGAAATTTTCAGAACTTGTTTTGTTTTCTTGATAGAACTACCATAACAGCCTGTCCTAGGGAAATTATTCTGTGGGTTATATTCATTAGCAAGATAACATTAATTTTATAGCGGAAGAAATAAAAAGCCAAAGGCCAGATTAAAGATTTCCTGTTCCTGTGCTAAACTTTGTAGTATTAGCTTTCATTATTTAAACATTTTATCAGCCTTTTATGTGTCAAGCACTAGTCTAAGTGTTAGGGGTGAAAGGATGAATAGGATGCAAAGGAATTTCTGCCTTCAGGGAGGAGGCTGGCTAATAGGAAAGACAGTGATGAGTCTAAATAAAGTGATAAAATGTTTTGGCAACATGAAGAGGGAGCTCTGTGAAGAACTGCGCTGGCTGAGGAAGGAAAGGTGTCCAGGAAGTGACCCGCCTATGTTTTTGTAAGGTGAATAGAATTTTACCAAGAGACAAAGTTTGGGTAGAGCTTTGCAGGCGGGAGGCTAGATTGCTGTGCAAAGGTACAGAAATGGAAAAGAGCATGTTTGGGCAATATTGAGAATTTAATACGATTAGAGCATAGGATGCAAGGAGTGAAAGGAAGAGGGGGATAATGAAAGATAAAGCAGAAAGAATATATTGAGGCCAGAGATTCTGAAAGATTCCTTAAGGTGTCAGGTGCTGTCCTGTAGGCGGGGTATCATAACACTAAGAGAAGGCAAACAGATCAGTGGGGGAGAGAAGAGAATTCACAACACCCCCAAATGCGAATATTATTAAAGGTAGTACCACAGATCGGAGGGAGAGGGTGGATTCATAGGTAGTGCAGAGCAATTGGTTAACTCTTTGGGAAGAGCAATTAAGTTACTAGTTTGTTAAAATATTTTACTCAATACATTTATGTTAAGAACATGAGGTTAATATTTAGAAAATTTTGATCAAAACTTCGACTTTATAGCTAGATAAAACCTGATGTTTCAGATCACATTTCTTACCCCCAAACTTCTTTTTTTGTAGCATCTGCAGAAAAAGAGGCAATCAAGGCTACATACTCCAAAGTACTGGATGCATATGGACTCTTAGGTGTTTTACGATTAAATCTTGGTAAGTTTATTATTCGGAATAATTCATCTATTTTTTTCATTTCTGTTTTTGTAATTCTAAGGATTTGAAAGAGACTAGTTATAAATCATTTCAGACTCCGCATTTGAGCTGTGTGGTAACATCTTTTAAACCCTGACGAAGCTAATCTTGGGATAATGTTTGTTGATTGAAAAGGCATGCTGCATGCTCACACTCATGATTTTAAGTTCCAGAGGCAGTGCCTGGTTTGAACACTTTAAGAGATTGGTGCTAGTTGTCAAAAGAAAATGAGAGCATTGCCCTTCTTCTTTGCTTCAATGCATTTAGGAAACGATGTTTTAATTGGAACTGCATTGATTTCCCTGGTTTATAGTAGAAAAGACATCTGTTTTATATTCAGAAGGTCTTAGCTTGAGTCTGACTCTGCCACTTAATGTCACCATGGGCTGCAAAATAACTTTTGTGATTACCAATTTGATTGTCTATAACAGTGTGACTAAAATGAGGTGCAAGGTCTGGTACCATTCCATGAACTGTTTATTATTGGTCTGTGCTGAGATGAGGACCTGGCACCATCATGCCAGTCAGCACATGGCTTCCTTCATTGGTAAAGTCATACTATGAAAAAAAAGTCAGCTAAACCAAATGGTGAATTTGGTGATGTAGTTGATTTCCATTCTGGAACAAGCATCTTTTCTCATTGTGAACTGGTAACAGGTCATGGACCATACTTTCAGGAGCACTGGTCTGGAGATTCACCATTTGTAATGGATCTATCACATCTGCCTGGGTGCTTAACTAATATTGTCTTAGGTAACTCTCATAGTCCAGTGAGATTTGTTTTAATCCTATTTTATAGGGAGGTTATCTCAGGTTGGTATGTTAGCACAGTGACTTTGGTCTAGGTAATAAGTAATGGAGCCAAGTCATAGCCCATGCTCAGAGTACATCACTGCTGAATTCCACTTTCATTGGATTTTTGTCAGACTTAGATGAATCTCTATGAAAGTTTTTGTAAACTAAATTGCTTTATAAATTGTTACCAGGGACTCTTTGCCCATATATCATTGTTATCATCAGCTCACATTTTATGCTATTTTTCCAACTTTACTATTTACAGAGAACTCACATTCATTGTCTTATCTGAACTTCCTAACAATCATAAAGGCAAGGTAGGGAAGATGACACATTTTTTTTAACTGCTGTTTCCTAATGTGCCAGTCCGTTTTCCTCCCCACTTGGCCAAGATCTCTCTTTTCACATTTTTAAAAAAATAAATCTTACATACCCTCAGATCAAGTAGAGGAACAATTTCATAAATGTAAGGTTATTCTGTTGATATTTAAATGGTTCATTATACTAAATGTATTTCAGCTTTTGCCAAAATCTCATTGTTAACTTAAACACGTCAATGATAAGTTTAAAATCATCATGATGTCAGATTTAAAAAGGAGACTGGAAAAGAAAGTTGGAAGAAACTTTGAATAGCTTGAAAAATATTGGAACTTTTCATCCCATTAAATCTTTGGTTTTTGCAGGTGATACCATGTTACATTATCTGGTCCTAGTCACAGGATGTATGTCCGTTGGAAAAATCCAAGAATCTGAAGTTTTCCGAGTTACTTCCACTGAATTTATATCACTACGAGTCGATTCTTCAGATGAGGATCGCATTTCAGAAGTGCGAAAAGTTTTGAATTCAGGAAACTTTTATTTTGCGTGGTCTGCATCTGGAACCAGTTTAGATCTGAGTCTTAATGCACATCGCAGCATGCAGGAACACACGACTGATAATAGATTTTTCTGGTGAGTCTGTGTTACATTTTGTCCCTCTGTAATCATGTGCTGTGTAATAGCTTGGCGAATTGGGGCACAGTACGTTCAACAGTTATTTCCAGAGCTGGCAGGGATGGGCATTACTGGTAGAGCACACTACTCACTCTTTCTTGCCCCAGGATCCTTAGCCGAGTATAGGAGACATCCACTGTCAGTTACTGAAGTTGACATGTGACATGAAACCCATTTTCTCTCCCTGATTGTGACTAAACTTTCATTTCAGAAATATACTTAAAATCTTTATTTTAAAATTAGGAATGAATTAGTTGTAATGGAATTATGTTATTCATATTTACTGTTCTTAGTTTTGAGATCTTGTCTCTGGCAGTATTGCCTATTAAGCCAACATTCCCTTATTATTTTTAATTTTAACGTTGTAAGTAGAAAATCTTGATTTAAGAGCAACCGACTGTAAAGGAATAGTATGCTGGGATAAAGTTTAGTACTATAATAAAAATAAGACATAAGTAGGTAACTGTGATATATTCCCTGATTATGCATAATGTGCTGTAATATAAGTGTGCACAGATGAGCAGAACGCACGTGACCATAATTAGTATCAGTTTATTATAGGAGCAGACCCAGTCTTTTGAGTAGTTCTCTTATCTACAACCAGTATCGACGATGACTTTTTTTCCTTAATACCACCAGGTACTAATTATATTTCATTCTGTTTGCATATGTTGTAAGGCCAAAGTCCAGGACTCCGTCTCAGCAGTTCAGAGTCAAGATTTTTCCTCCTGTGTATTCCCGCACCGCCCCCCACTGCCCCACTTGCACTTTCACCGTCTACCTGTAAGGTCCTTGAGTAGCAGTTTCAGGTCAGACCCATTTTACCTAGTTGTCAGAGGGCTCAAAGTCAACAAAAAGAATAGAAAACTAACTTTAGAGGAATAGCTTAGCCGCCTCGTAGCTCACATGGAAGTTTCTCGGCCCTGAGTAGTGGCATGGGGGAGAAAAGAGGGCAGAATGGAAAAAGGCTTCAGAGCACTGGAGTCAGAGACTTGGAGCCCAGCAAAGCAGGAGATGATGGGAGGAGAGGGAAGCGTCAACAGGGCAGATGAATGGACAGAGTCCTGTCTGCTCTTGTCAACCCTATACTTTTTCTGATGGAAGAGACATTGAAGTCCCTGAGAAAGGAAAAGGCGTTGCAGCTTGGCTTCGGGAAGCTGTCCTGACCGCATCCCCGCCCCACCACTCATTCTTACCGCAGATTCCTTAGGTTGACAAAGTTTTCCTTCCTTAATTAGAAGTCCAAGCAGGTACAGCTGTGATGATCAGCAACCAAGCACATTGGCTAAGTTTAATCAGTAGGAATAATTCATTTGTCTTTTCATTCAGTAAGGCTAACTTTAGATCTCAGTTTGAAGAGTTTTATCCAGCAGTTTCTCCAGATTTATCCAGAGGTGGGGCAGAATTAGATGACACATTAAGAGATTTATCCAGTAGGAAACAGGTTAAAAAAGGGGAGGCTGAAACACCAAAGGTGAGCTTTGCTCCCTTTTACTCTTTGTACAGTTTTGCTAAGGATTGCGTTCTCGAGCCTCACTTTGCATAGAAAAATGAAAGCTTTAAGAATTCATATTCATTACACATACCCTTGCAGCTTAATTGAAATATTTTCCAGGATACGGCCAAGAAAGTTTTGTGGCCAGAGTGGTAAATACCTATCATAAAAACCCAGGCAGTTTTACTCCACTGGAGATTCGAAGCTGCTGTCTGTCGAGTTGTTTATAAGTTTAAATAAAATTAAAACAGCAACACATTGACAGCAAAGAAAAAATGTAAACTGACAGCAGAAGGAGAAACTCTGCCTGAGGAAATGCATAGGATCTCACACCCACTTCTCTTTAAATGGGGCAGTCAAGTCTCTTATACCTGAGCTGTGACATGGGACCCACTATGTCTGGATATACTGGGTCACAGTCAATTTGAGCTTTGTCTCAGATCAGTATCAGTGTAGGTACTAGTAAAGTATGGGGGCTTAAGTCATATTTTAAAATAAATAATGGTCATCGGATTTAATGTTATTCTAGTAGTAATCTCACCACTGACATTTCGGTATGCTTTCTTGAATGGAAGGAAGGAATGTGGTTATAGCTGGTTTACCAGAAGTGCACATGACCAGCATCTGTTTTGTTTCGACTGCAGCCTAAACCCTGAGGAGGAGGGGGTTGGGGACTGCTGCTTTAGCAGTATTGCTGTATATTATCGATATTAATGACCTTGAGGCTTCAAGAAAAGGCTGTTACTTTTTTATATACCTTAAAGACAGCAAGATAGTGCAGAGCACTTCAGAATTCAACTTAACATAGTAGGAGAGTTTTAAAATTCAGAGGACCAAGTCTCAGTATTATAGAAAATCCACTTTTTGTTTGTTGAAAGGTTTTTCTGCACCATTATATATTTGCTTGGGTGGTAGGTCTGTTAGGAGTCTCCACATGCATTCTTTAGAGGACTAAGGTTCCAGTGGAAACCCCTGAGGAGACAGCAGGATGAGAAGATGGCCAACCTTGGCAGGACTCCAGCCCTCATCCCTGCTTTAGCCATGGTGACACTGCTTTTATGTAGCCTGATCATCAGACTTCCGCATGTTTGTTTGAATAAAACATTTTGCCCTGAAGAAGTTTGGAAACCAGGCCTCATCTGTTACCTAGAAAGCTAAGAGTATTTGGAGTAACAGAAAGCTCTAGGCATGCATTAATACAGTAGCCACTAGCCTGCCTGGCTGTTTAAATTTAAATTAATTAAAATAGAGCCTCATAAAAGTCAAGCCTTAAAAGTAGAGCTTATAATGTGGCATGGGGATATGTGTATGAAATCTTTTTTGGAAGAGTTAGGTTATAAATACATTATATAAAAAGACAATAGAAACGGGGCACAGATTCTAAAAACGTAACCAATATTCTGCTTTTCTGTGGATCACAGATCACATGCTCAAGGATCTCAGAGCTCTGTCTTTTGATACCTGGCAGAATAAACGTAAATGAATTGAATTATTTTTGGTGCCTTTTCACTTAATAGCATTAAATTAATTTCTAGGAACACCGTTTTAAAACTTAAACTGTATTGTCTAGTACTCAGTAAGCTAATGCAGTTCTTTCTTTTTGCGTTAGGAATCAGTCTTTGCACTTGCATCTCAAGCACTATGGCGTGAATTGCGATGACTGGCTATTACGCCTCATGTGTGGGGGAGTAGAAATCAGAACAATTTATGCTGCTCATAAACAGGCAAAGGCTTGCCTCATTTCTAGACTAAGCTGTGAACGAGCTGGGACCAGATTTAATGTCCGAGGAACAAACGATGATGGTCACGTCGCTAATTTTGTAGAAACAGAGCAGGTATGTAGTGTTTTGTATTGCTTAGTTCATCAATGAGATGAGAGGCACAGAAAATTATAGAATAACAGATTTTTACTTGATTCAGAACTCATTTTGACATCCGTAATGTCATTTTCATGGTCGTTCTCAGCTGCTTATTGGCCTTCGGAAAGGTTACCCTGAAACAGACTTACTTGGTTATGACTCTTCAAATAAATAGCAAGATTTTCACTAATCAGCATGGCATGGCAGTGCCTGTGTTTTGGTATTGAATTAAAAACTCAATTATAGAGCTAGACAACTTAAGAAAAGTGTTTTTCTGTAAAATAAATTAAACCCAATCTTAAATGTAGATATATGTACCATCTAAAAGAAAGAGGTATGATATTTTTGGCTATGAAACTATGTAATTGTAAATTTAGGCCATTCCTCTAGCCCAGCTCAGATCTTCAAGTTAGTTTTTTAAAAATATAAAAACTAAAGAAAAATTAAATGGAAATAGAAAGGTATAAATGTAAGTATTGAGATTCAAAAGGAATTCCTTTTCAAAAGTTGTGATTCTTATATTTTCACTATTTTCCTGGTTAATCTCTATGGAGGAGTTATCACTGATTTAAAAAAATCAAACTTATTTAGTGGCCTATTTTGGATATTTTGTTAGGACAGTTTGTATGTGAAAGATGAATCATAAGCTATAACTAGCGTGCAACGGATGTTAGAAAATGTCTTCTAATGTAGAAGTAACAGCTTAGTCTGTGGAAATATTTTTTACAATATTTTTCTCTGTAGGTCGTGTACTTAGATGACTCTGTTTCTTCCTTCATACAAATTCGGGGATCTGTTCCATTGTTCTGGGAGCAACCAGGGTTGCAGGTGGGTGTTTGGCATTCGGTTTTTTGTTTTTTTCTTGAAAATTTCTATATTTTCTAAATTTTCAGGAGAGTTTATTAGTTCATTGGATGAATCTAAGTACAAAATTCTTGGAATTGTCTTAGATATTTTTTCCTTTAATGTTCTTTCAAATATCCATCAAAATTCAGCTGCCGCGTTTAATATTAAAATTTTGATGTTTTCATAGTATATTATTTTAAAAATATTTCCATATTTACAATCTCAGTATCTAAGTATAAAACAGTTTAGTCTCTGTAGGCAGAAAAATGTAATTAAAACAAAGCTTCCGAAACCAGACTTCTCAACTTGGATCCTTATTCTACCATTGCTAGCTGTGTGATCTTCAGCAAGTGATTTAACTTTTTGGTGTCTAAGCTTTCTTATCTTAAATGGGAATAATAATATTATTAGTACCTACTTCTTAGGGTTTTCATAAGGATGAAATGGAAGGTACTTAGAATAGTGCCTGGCACACACAGTCAGCACTATGTAATGATTAGTTATTGTTATTATCGATAATATATTTGCTACTGAAGTTTTACTTTGTAATTTATATTGATCTGTCATCTTGAATATTTTCTCTGGCTTGCTTTCTAATTTTAAACTTTCCTTTGTTGATATAAATGTCTAATCTTTAAAATATAAGATTATTTTTTCATGTAAGGTCATAATATTGGATTGCCCATAATAGTGTGTTTTGCATTTTATTTTTATTCAAAACCCTTTAATCCCGAAAAAGGAAGTCATATTAATTTTAAGCTTCTAGTATATACTGTCTAGTAAATTTTGTGCTTCAGTCTACAGTATTGAGAAAATGGGCAGAAAAAAATCTTGCCTCCTTTTCATTCATAGCTGGATCTCTCTTACACTCTGGCTATCATGGAGAAAAATTGAAGAGCACTTGAACCTTTTCAATAGTATAGTTTATTTAAGACAGGCCAAGAATCACAAGGATTAACACTTGTACTGCTTTGCTAAGATCTTGAGTTCTTGTCAAGCCTGGTTTGATTTGTCTGGGTTTTATTTTTGGCATATAAGAGTAATTTAAATAGCTATACCTCTCCCTCAGTCTCTCTCAGGAAAGAATCTCATCCCTACACCACTTCTCCTAAGCTTTCGTCATCTGAGAAGGGTGTTTGGAATAATGCTTTAGGAATTCCTAAAGCCCTGCTTCAATGCAAGGCGAGTGCTTTTGCTTTAGAGACAGGCTAAGTCAAGAGACCCTAATAGCCTGCTTACAGGCCCTCCATTATACTGCTTTCTGTGTTATTTCATTAAGAAGTTCAGAATTGCAGTGTCTGATTATTCACTAAGGTTGGATCCTGAGTAGTTACATTGAGGGATCCTCCTTTGATGGGACTGCCTTCCTACTTCCTTCTCTGTTCTGTGGTTTGCCCTGCCACACAGATAGTCTGGCTGGCTAATGTCATGTGATTATGGGCTGAACACTACAGATTTTTAAATTATGCCTTTCTTGATAGAGAAAGTAGTTTCTGAGACATCAAGACAGTTCAACAATTCTGCTTAATGGTCACTGAGTTGCCTATTGCTGTCGGATTAGGTTGAGGATTGGGTCAGCGGTTCTCAACTATTTAGCTTAGTAGTTGAAAGTCAGCCTTTCTTTGAACAGGAATGAATGGGTTTCATGACTGTCTTTTATCATTTCCCCCACCATCCACAAAGAGTAGGCAATAGTGAGGCAATAGAGAATTGATTTTTAAAAAACTGAAAAATAGATATTGATTTTTAAAAGTAAAAATACTAAGTCTAAAAGTTAATTTTCTCATAGAAGATCAACAAGGATTTTTGACTCAAAGTGGTTGTAAATGGTTGTAAGGTGTCCTGTGTATTCTGGAGACCAGAATTTATTTTAGGGGGACCCCAAAGTCGGTGTTGCCTCGTGAGGTGTCCCATTTCAGAAGTCACAGACAGAAAATCCTCAGGCAGTTGTCCCTTGTCTTGCCTCTTACCTTCATGATTAATTCTTCTGAGGTTTTTTTAATGAAAAGATTTTCTAAAAGAATCATCTCACGTGGTTTTAAAACAGATTCATGGCTTCAACTTCACATCAGCTGAAATAGAATCTCTTGGAATGGGGCCGGGAATCTGCGTTTTTAACCAAGTTCCCTTCCAGTCAAATTTGAGAACTTCTGTTGTGCAGGATCATCTTCTGATGACTCAAAGCATCCCCAGCCCCATCTGCTCCAGCGGCCCATGCTGAGCAAGCAAAGGCAGCGCTGTGACATAGCCCCAGCCTTCTCCTAGGCATGCCCCCCTTTTTTTTGTTCACCCACTTTATCATGCCAGTTTAGAAATAAATGTGTGTGTGTGTGTGTGTGTGTGTGTGCGTGTGTGCGCGCACGTACGTACGTATGTGTGTGTATATGTATGTGTGTGTGTGTGTATTTTTTTTTCTTTGTTTGTTTGTTTGCCTGCAAAATTCTCACAGTTTTCTAACTAGTCTCCTCCTAGCTATCTGGCAGTTCTAATTACTTAGGGTACATTATGCTCCTCAGACCTACCAGGCACCGGTTTCTTCATGACCTGGTTTTCCTCTATCTCTCCAGCTTCCTGACTTGCTATTTTCTAACAGGAATCCTCTGCTCCCAAAATTAGGGTTTGTTGCCCTTCAGTAGCCAACTTAGACCTCATAGAACAGATTCTAGTCACTTCCGCACTGACCTCTTCATTAAATCCTTGAGTTCTTCCTGTGTATATTATCTGTACGAGGTGTATAATCTTGTGTACTGTGCTATGAGAAATTCAGAGACTATAATGATGCTTCAGAGAGAGCTTGCAATCTGTTTGGGCAGTCAGGCGTTTTATGGAAAAGGTAAAGATCAATATGAATTAGGTTGAGACAGCGTAAGAGTTGTCATAAGGTGCTACGTGGGTAAAAATGATATTTTAAGTGCTGGCAACTCATTTTACTTATGATTTCCTTTCTCTGAAGTTATTTAGCATTTATGATTTATAGTATTAGGCTGACATTATATTGTAGTTTTATGTTAGTCTTAAGGATGGTGAGCACCATGAACTCTATGCCCAGTATAGTATTGTACACTGAATTTTTGGTCAAATCGAAATTTCAAAATATGTGAACATGAAGCAATACTATTGGTGGAAAATGATGTTTTCTCAATTAATTGGTTTTCTAAAAATATCTTTGATGCAACTTTTTAAAAAAATTAATTGGGTAAATTTTTAGTTAACTTAAAGCCTTAAAACTTTCTAGAGTGCTGCTTTCATCACAATTGACATAACAGCTCTTTTATTATAGAATTTTTTTCTTTAATATCGAGTAATGAAACCTAGTCTGGTTTAACTAATACATTGCTCTGAGTGATGATATAACTAGTTGTGTATACGTGTTAGGGAACCAGGTGGTGGGGAAGAACCAGAGGCATTACCTGAAAAACATGAGAGCTTGTATTTTTTCACCTTCTTGACGGTTGGGAGTATTGCACAAGATGAATATAAATAAATCAACATAATGCTAAATCTTGGACTTTGAGTTACAGGTAATTGCTGGAGATTATGTGAAAGAAAAAGTATTGACTTCTAAATTTCCTGCAAAGTAAAATGCTTACTGTCCTGGGGCACACATCTCTCAGTTTGACATTTTATGTAGACTGCTAAGCACTATAGAATGAAATTAAATATAGATATGACACTAGGCTAATCAATTTCTTACTGAAAAGAAAAACAGCTCATCAGTTTCTTACTGAAAAGAAAAAAAAAGAAAAACCACCAATTTATTAGTACAGTCATTAGATTGTCTCACTTATCAGGACAAGGGGCGAATGCTGAATGAATGATAATACTGTTAATTCAATTTTAGAATTGAATGAGCATATTAGAGCTTATTTTCTGATTTTATTTCTTGAACTGCGTAACTGATTTGGCAACACTTTTCCCATTCCCTCTTTCAAGTCAGTTTGTTCACAGATTAGCTAGAATGAAATCTGGTGAACTTTGATCCCCAAGTCGCAGAAGGAAATGTTTAAAACTTCAGGGAAATGATATGATCTTACTTTTATATTTGTTTTGGCATCTGTTATATTTCTCAGATCTGTGTCATTTCTCTGTCACTCTCCTGTATGAGAAAAGAAAAACTATAACAAAACACAATAGGTGGATGTTTTCCATCTTGTTTCATTCTCTTAACGCAAATTCTCTGATTCTACAAAATGTTCTATTACTATAGTTATGTGACTATGAGATTAACTTTGAAAAGTCTATTTTTCCAGAACAATATTTTTAACACATAGACATTGCTTTTGTAGGCAGCTTGGAAGAGTAGGAATTTAGAAATCTGTTTTGGAATTAATGATATTGACCAAAAGGACAAGTTATTTCACCTGGCTGTATTTGTTTTATTTTCCAAATGGCAGTAATATCTGTTGACTTACACAGGGCACATGTTTGAGCTTAAAACAAGGTAATGTATATGAAAGCACTTAAAAAATATTTTTCATAGATACAAATTTCTGTTAGTTTACAAATGCTTCATAATGGGCTAACTTCTAGCTCTTTTTTTTATGAGGTTATGTTTTAAAAAATAAAAGGGAGCAGAAAGTCCTAAACCTTGTATTTTCAAAGACTATCATGAGTGCCAGTCAGTCATCTGACTTAATGCTTTGTGTTCAGCAAATGGATTTTTGAATATTATAAACAAACAATGACATATCTTTTATCTACATGTTGGCTTTTGGTATTTTTCTTGTTTTAGGTGGGATCTCATCGTGTTCGTATGTCAAGGGGATTTGAAGCCAATGCACCTGCTTTTGACAGGTAAGACTGATTATTTTCAGTGCTGTGAGTTTTGATACTATTAAGCAATGTGACCAGTTGTAATTATATTTACTGATTCATTTCACCTTTTTTGGTTCTAAGTAAAATTTTTCTGATTCCTAATTTAACTAGAAGACAGTGACACCTAGTGTTATGACTTCTCGGGTAGTAGCATTAGATTTGTGGGTCTTGATCTCTTGGCCTTAAAACTACTTCAATGGGTGGTTGTCCAATACCCTATCCCATAGCCACTAGCCACATGTAGCTTTTAAGCATTTGAAATTGACTAGTCCAATTGCGATGTGCTGTAAGTGTAAAATACATGTTGGATTTCAAAGACTTAGTGCCAAAAAAAAAAAAAAAAGCAAATAATACCTTATTAATATTTCTTTTATATATTGGTTACATGTTGAAATGATATTTTAGCTGTATTGAGTTAAATAAAACATGTAAAATAATTTCATCTGTTTATTTTTACTTTTTTTTAAATGTACCTTTTAGAAAATATAAAAGTATATCTGTGGCTCATGTTATATTTCTTTGGGATGGCATTGCTCTACAGCCTCTATAGTACTTAGAAGCTGGACAGAATAGGCTCATATTTGGGGCCTGTTTTTTTAAGGCTAGGTCTATTAAGGAGTTCTTTCTGAATACTCACGGAGCATATGATGTCTTCACTTGCGAGGTGCAGCCTTAGGCCCTCTGCCCCAGCCGCCCTAACAGCCAAGTGGGTGGCTTATGTCCTCTGTGCTTGTCTGACACCATACTCAGAGAGTGGAGAGGGAGCTGGATGACTCCAATAGCTCCAGCATAGGTGGGAGGCTTCATATTGATAAGTCAGAGAGGAAATTGTAATAATACAATTATTGAATGAATATTCATAAATTTAGAGTTTTGAGACTATGTGGAATGAGCTTGTATATAATTTTGTAATATGTTCTGTGAGTTTAAAATACTACCATTTAGGTTCTGTTTAACAATGGATTCCTCTTTATTGAAAAAATTTTAACTTGTCACTTGACATATGCTTATTTCTTTTCTTTTATAGGCATTTTAGAACACTTAAGAATTTATATGGTAAACAAATAATAATAAATTTGCTTGGATCTAAGGAAGGCGAACATATGCTAAGTAAGGCTTTCCAGGTAAGAATGGTATTTAAAAAATAATGTAATAGGGTGATCAGATTCTTCCAGGAAGTCAATTACTTCCTAGAAAAAGGTTGGATACTTGTTGCAGCCATTAATTCTTTGGGGCTATTAGGAAGCAGTTTAGGGTAATATTGCTGAAATTGGGATTATGGAAAGGTTTCAAGGCAATTGACATTGTTTTCTAAAATGAGCTTATTTATGTTCTGGAGAAGCAGAAGCATGCTCTTCCCCAACTCCCCAAAATGTTCATCTGTCACTGATAGCAAGATACCAGGCAGTGTCCTTCATCTGTTCATTGCCTTGCCTATTTCCTAGAAACCACAGTCATTGTTTTCAACCTATGAAATGGTAAATAATGCTTTTGTATACATGCAAGACTATACCTTCTTATGTTGATGAAAGAAAATTTGAGAATTTCAAGTAAAAAAGGACCCAAAGAAATGTCTGACTTCTAAAGAAAAAAATATTCCTTATAAACACTTATTGAATCAATAATTAATTAATATAAATTATGGTGCTACACAGAATTCTAAGCTTAAACAAAATGGTTAGAAAACATTTTCTTAAATTCAGTCTAATGAAGTCCAGAATTAACTTAATTTTTTGGCTATTTTATTGTAACCTTGTGCAATAGATATTGTTAATAAACAGATCATACTTTAGAGAATGAGCTTTTATGTACTTTTAAAACATTTGTATGTATTAAATAAAGATATAAAAAATAAACTTTTAAATCTTTGATAAGCTTTGTCTTAAAAAATGAGGAACTTCTTTTTGTGATTCTATAATAAATAGAAATGGTAATTAAATTTATGTTATAAAAAATGAAATACTAGTGGTTGGAAATAATTTTCATTTTCTAAACCAGATAAGAATATTATTTAAATGATTTGACATATGTCACCAAATCTCTCAGGGATAGTATATGTGGTTTTAGGAAAAGTATGCTATTAGATATCAGCAAGTAATTTTCCATTTTACTGTCAATGTTGGTGAAAGCTTTGTAAGATTAGTAAGATTTCAAGGAATGATGCTGAGGTTTTTGTTTTAAAGATACACTTCCATTTGTAACATATATTGATAGGATCATATTCATTTAACATTTAGATGAATATTTGCCTTTTTACTTTTAGAATCATTTGAAAGCTTCTGAACATGCTACTGATATCCAGATGGTGAATTTTGACTATCATCAAATGGTTAAAGGAGGAAAAGTAGAAAAATTGCATAGTATTCTTAAACCTCAAGTCCAAAAGTTTGTGGATTATGGATTTTTTTATTTCGATGGAAATGAAGTTCAAAGGTTTGATGCTCTCTTTCTCTTTTCTTTAAATGGAACTCTGCTATAATTTAAAAATTGTTCTTAACATTGAACTCTTAAATTTCTTTTTTTAGATAAAGTTTATAATTAAATAAAATATCCTCCTTTATTATACTTGATTCTAGGCTTGTTTTTTTTTAAGAATTCAACTAGTAATAATAGTAGTTTACATTATTGGGCACGTACTATGGGCCAAACAGTGTGCTTAGTCTTTTACATGTGATGCTAACAATAATTATAGGGCTAGGTTCTATTATTATCCCCATTCACATTTGGGAAAATTGATGCATAGGCTACAATCTGCCCTAGGTCCCCATAGCTGGGAAGTGTTAGAGCTGGGATTCATCAGGCTGCAGACCTCAGGCTGTTATCTATGAGGCTGTTCCAGATCTCTCTTAAAACAATTGTTTTAATGTTTCTTGACCTCAGTAAGGACAACGAGATGCAAATAGAAGTAAAAGACATTGCTTTTTGTCTGCTTTAGTATAATTCAAATCTTTAGTTTTTGCATATAAAGTAGAGGAGAAAAGTTAAATATTGAAAGATTAAAGCTCAGAATATAGGTTGAGGTAAACTTTAGTAAACAAAGCTCAAATTTTTAGTTTTTTCATTGTACAATATGTAGTATCAATGCTATAGAAACTATAGGATAGTCAGTAGAGGTAACAGATCTTAGGGTTGTAAAATTCATTCCATAAATATTTGATAATCTTTCATGTGCAAGGAAGAAATCTGAATGTATGGTTAGTGCTGAACTACTGGCCTAATTAAAAATAAGTGAGTGTGGATGAATAGATATGTGATAAAGAATATATGGCAAAATGTTAACAATTGTAGAATCTAGATGGTGGATATATGGATGTTCACTGTAAAATATTTTTTTTATATGTTGGAAAATTAATAAAAAGTTGGGAAGGGAGAGAAAGTGGATGCTACATTGTAATCACCTTAATTTTTCTGTTTGTTTGAGTTTTGTTGCTTTTGCTTAATTTTATCGAATATGTTACAGATGCCAGAGTGGTACAGTTCGAACAAACTGCTTGGATTGTCTTGACAGAACCAACAGCGTGCAGGCATTCCTTGGCTTAGAGGTAAAGAACAAATGAAAATGTGTGTACGTGACTTGCGTTAAAGCCTCTTCCAGTGGTTTTGTAGTATTTGTTTCTCATTAGTTAATTTTTCACAAAATAAAGTTATGTTTCATTAAAGGCATTCTTCTCTAGTCATTCTTTTTTTGCCCAAATCCCTTTCCATTTAAATGTTACCTTTACCTGTTCTACAACTCTTTGTGTAGCTATTTCCCTTGATTGTTCCTTAAGTTTCCTTAAAAAATCCTGCTATTTATACTATTCCAATAATTGCTTTATTTTCTTGTCATTTGGAAGAAGAAAAAAAAACATTTTTTATATACATATAAAAATACATATGGAAACATTTGGCCTTTATTCTCTGTGTTGTCTTTTAAAAGTCTCTTCGCAATTGGGGAGGGTCTGTTTTCACGTGTACAATCTGATAGGATTATATTTTGATAGAGTCTGTAACCCAATATAGTTTATATAGAGTCTGTAACCCAATATAGTTTATATGGCATTGTCAAATCAGTAGCTATAAAGAACAGAATGCCATTGTTAGAATGAAAGTGAATGAGATTCATCTTTCACAAAGTTTTTGTTTAAAAGTTTTTTTCTTTATAATTTATTCATCAGATTATCTAATGTAGACGCAGTCTCAATTATTTGACAAACTGTAGCAATGCTGAGCTTGCTAAGTCTTTCCGGTTGTGCAGCAGTCAGGGTCATAAGGCTATGGTGGGTCTTCGTTTAGTTCCATAGGATCTTAGCACAGTTCTCAAATGCTATAAAAAATAGGAATAGGGAATAACAAGTTCTTACTTCCTCTAGTTAAATGATCTTAAATTTGGTTAGAATATTGGTTAGTTACTCTGCAGCTGAGGTTCATTCTCAAAAATGAAAGTATAGCATGTAGAATTCTCTGTTACAGAAATGTATCTTTCAAGTAACCAAATGAATTTTACTGTTTTGCTTTTTTTGAAATCTGTCATTGAGATTTATCATTTAATTTATTTAGAAAATATGACATAAGAAAAGTGAAAGCTGGCATTTGGATGGAGTTTATCACATGGCTTGCGTTTGTTTCTAGTTTTGTGTTTAAGTAGTTTACTTAGATACTGAGAGTAAGCTTCTTGAAATACTTGAAAGTCGTCATTAAAAGTATAACAGGTGTTAGTTTTCACTAACACTGACTTATTTGATTATCCACTGTTGGTAGTCAGGTGTGAGAATACTCCCTTGTACAGAAATTGGTTAACTCGTTACCAGTTCAAATAAACCCCGTTCAGGGTTTTTTAAAATATGATTTTAGTGTTTGATCCCTCTAGAGTTATGGATAAACTCCATACTTATAGCTAATAAGATTAAAAAAAATGCAAATGGAAAGGAGTTATATAAAAATTCAAGGCATAGAATATGACTGGATTCCAAACAAGACAAGTAGACTAGATAAGGGTTGTACGTTTCTTTGACTCTGGCAGATTTCAAGGCTAACACTCATTCTGAATAAAGACTAATACCTTTCTAGACACTGCTACTGTTATCTGTGATGAGGGAATTGTGGTAGCCCGAAGATCCTTGCATTCCGTGCATGCTGTGTTCCCTCTAGTTCTCTGTTATACACGTTCCCAATAGAGATTTTATTCATAAAAAGCTGTTATGACTTTATCCAGAGATATGGCTTTGTCTTTATTTTTCTTTTTTTCTCATAATCTCTTGACCTTAATTACCCAAACTTATAAAACCAAATCTAAAAATTAAAGAACTTTTGTTATTTCTATATATATTTAGATAAACTAGGTAAATATTTTTTTCTGCTTTAAAGCATGCTATTGAATAATCTAGGTGGATAAGGTAAACATATATAACTTACAGAGATATTTTAATAAGATAAATTTTATCATTTAACTGGAAAGATTTTCTTATTACTACAAGGGAACATTAAATTGCTTATAAGTTTCATTGTGTGATATTTACTTTAAAAATTTAAAGTGAGAAATAACAGCCTAGTAAACCGTTAGGTTTTCAGAATCCAGTTCCACATAGTCTTATAACTACAAAGCTTTTGGTAGTTCTTAAAAAGTCACATCACAATTAAGATATTAATGCACTTATAAAAGTTTCTCTTTTGTTGTTTTAGATGCTGGCTAAACAGTTGGAAGCTCTTGGCTTAGCTGAAAAGCCTCAGTTGGTGACTCGCTTTCAGGAAGTTTTTCGGTCCATGTGGTCTGTGAATGGTGATTCAATCAGTAAGATATATGCAGGAACCGGAGCTCTGGAAGGAAAGGCTAAGGTAAATATAGATCTATCATGATTATGAAAGATCTTCTTTTTCCTCTTTTAATAATGCCTTTAAATCATCTTTTTTTTTAATTAACTGTTTTTTAGAATTTTATCTTATTACGCTTTTATTCCTCTTTAACTCTCCCTTCTCTAGTGGTATTAATGACTGAATAGAAGGTAGTTATTTCCCTAGGTTGGGGGGCTATGTCTGTGACATATTTAGTCATGTAGTGATAATCTGCTAGGCCTATATATGTATTGCTTACAATTTTAAAATGATTTCCCCTTGCATATTTGTTTTACTTTTCATATTGTTTATTTTTATCATAAATATAATTTTTTTTAAACCATAGTCTTCCTTATAAAGAGTCCTATCTCATTTGGGTTTGTATCCCCAGCACTTAACACAGTACCTACTGTTTAACAGGTATGTGACAAACGCCGGATCTGGAGAATAAATCAATGGAAGATTTATGTAACACCGACTATGAACCCAACATTATTAGGGCTTGATTAAGTTTTTATTCTTTTACTTTCTTACCTTGAAAAGGAGGCTATCAGAATGTGCAAAAGCAGTGTAAGATACAGACTTAAGTATAACTTTGTGTCTCACCATTACTTTTTAATTACTGGTATTATCTACAGACTACGTTCACTCTAGTATTTGGCTGTATTGAGGGACTTAGGAAGCATACTTGAGATATTTTTCATTAATTTATGTACAATATTGACTTTTTAAGTCTCCTGACCTCAGATGAATTTATTAATAACATCTTAAATCTCTACATTTCCTCAGATTCAGGAATAGAAACAAGGACATTTACCATTTTTATTTCTTATTCAGCCTCTTCACTATAGCAGCTGAAATTCTTCAAAGACCATTCATCATCTAAATCTTCTTTTCATTTCCAAATCTACCTCTTCTTCTGTGTCTCATAAAGTGTCATGCCTCTGTCCAGAGGTGTTGGCTTTACCTGCAAAATACCCTTTTGTTCAACTCATAGAAATAATATGTATTGACATTTACAGTATTTTCTTTTAAGTGGTCTCTATTTTTGAAAACCTGAAATTGTTAAACTTTCATTTATTTGTTTTAAAGAAAGAACGTAATTCTTGCTGATAAAACCTGATTCTCTACAACTATTGCTTAAAATATTCTTTTGCCTTTTTGTTTCTACACTATGACAATATATGTACAGAGGTTACATATATTTTCAGTGGTCTTTTATCTCTAACCTGATGATATGGAATTTCATATGTTAATATACTAGTCTGTATTGAACTAAAATCTAACATCTGAACTGTTCTTTCTTTTCCTTTCTCTGGGTTCCTTTTAATTTCCTGATAATGTGAATGGTGAGTGTCTTTTCAAATAATGTCATTTATTAATGGTATCACATGAAAGGGAATAACATTTTAAGCCTCAAATTACTATTACTATAATTTTTTTAAGGATTAAAAATTATATATAACAAAATGTTTTTCGAAAGGTTAAAGTTTTTTTAAACAATTATCAAAATCTGTAAGATCAAAATAAATCTTCACAGTAATATAGGCTCATTAAAAGTTATAATGAACTCACTGTAGGAATTAGCATAAGTTTATTATTTGTTATTATTTATATTTACATAGGCAATAAAATGACTTAAAATATGTAGACTGTAGTTTTCATGTAATATTTTTCAATTACATTATAAATTTCTTTTTAGACTAGACCTTCATTCTTATGTTCAGTTATAGCTCTAACTAATTTATTTGGGAACAATTTCAGTTTTATTTTCTACTATTAAAGTACTTTGAAGTTTTTCTAAGAGTGTGTTAAATATCTCCCCTGCTTCTCTTCACCCATCCCATCCCCACATTACATTGTAAGAAGTAATTTCCTCGTTTTAAGTACACTTCAGTTTATTTTCTTTATAGTAAGCAATTGGAAATGCTTAGTGCTCTAGATATCATTACTAGATGATGACTGAGCTTTTTTCATCTCTGTGCAAAAGAGGAAAAGAAGCAGTGACAATTTGAGCCATTTTAATGTGACAATTTGATATTCAAAATAGAATGATTAGGTCTTTTTTATTAAGGTAAAAATCATATAAAACTTAGTTTCAAAGTACCTACTAAGCCAAAAATATTTAGAATGAAAGTCCATGCTCCTTTTCCCCCCCAACAGGCTGGAAAGTTAAAAGATGGTGCTCGGTCTGTTACTAGAACGATTCAAAATAACTTCTTTGACAGCTCCAAGCAAGAGGCCATTGATGTCTTACTCCTGGGAAATACTCTAAATAGTGATTTAGCTGACAAAGCTCGAGCACTTTTAACTACTGGAAGTTTGCGTGGTATGCATACTTTATCTTTTACTTTATGTTACTAATATTTCTTCTAAAAGTATAAGAGGTAAATGTAAACTTATTTACATAAATAATTTTTAGATTGCTTAAAATAGTTTTGGAAGGATTTTTTATCACTGTGAGTTTTAAAAAGTGCATTCTCCAAAGACAGTCTGTCTTTTACAAAATATTATATCATCAGTAGTATTATTAAACCATAAACTGAGGCATGTTTTCTTTTATAGATTACGATTGATGGAGTGAATGGTTTAAGTATTGCTAACTTTACATAAAGCAGGACTTCATAGAATATTCAGCTAACAGAGCACTTAGCTTAATTATGTAGAAAACAAATGCTTTATTGAAAAAAACAATACCTATTTTGGTCACTTTGCTAATCACTACCCCAAAAGTTTCTATAACTTGGTCTTACCTTTTCATTGCTATTGTTTGAATAAATATTAAATCATATTAATCAATAATTTAAAATACTGCTTATTATTGGATACTGTTATCCCCAATTTTAATATTTGACATAAATATATGGCTTTCAGGATGGCTTATGTCTTTCACTGTATCTTTTATTAAAGTCAAAAGAAGTTCTGCTCACATCAGTGAACATATATTAAGTAGTATCATGGGAAAACTCAACGTTCATTGTAGAACTTAATAAATTAGACTTCCTTACTCCATATTTTTGCTATTTTAACTTTTCAGCACTCTGAACATTTTTATTTCTTCTGTTATCTCCAAACCAAACCTTTCAATTTTCCCTGTTCAAGTAGGAGAAATTATTCTTCGTCAAGTAATGTACTCTTGGATAATTATTTGGTCAAATAGGTTGTCATGGATTCTTTCAGAATTCTGCATGGTGCCGAAGGTAGTTAATTACAATGAGCTCCTCGGGGATCTTTTAGTAGGCCAGGGAACTGAGACCTACTAAAGCTCTAAAAACAAAATCTGATCGTAGCTACTGTTTTTAACCTCCGGCTTTCTTCCTGGCTTCCAACAGTTTTGCATCTGATCACCTCTTTCCACCTGTGCCTACTTTGATATGAAGGCATTAATAAGCAACAATTCCAAGTAAGCAACTGAAGGAAAGAAAAGAAGTGAGGGACCTAAGATTCTCAAACTTGATCATCAGGTTTTCGTTTCCTGCACATTTTACTAGATGTAAAATACCTTTTAAAAAAAGTACAGTCAGTTCTGCTGTAACACTTATTCTAAGGATCAGAATTTGTTCCAACAGGGATGATATATTAGGGAACCTTTTGAGCATAATACCAATTCCGCATTAGTTTCTGCATGATTTCACCAGCAATAACACTAGGTAAACACAGAAAACTGCACCCAGCAGAAATGAGATGAGTAAAAATATACAACACATACTTACACATATGCACACACCTCAAACATCTCACTGCCTCAGTTTACCAGCTGTGTTATGAGCCATACCCACTTACATCTGGTGTTGCCACTTTCTGTCCAATGTCAGAGAACCTTTCTTCCATCACTTACAGTGACAAGCTGCAGTCCTTCTAAAGCACATTACTATGAGCAAATTTCAGGTGTTTTTCAAGATGAGGTGCCATATTTAAAGAATATTCATACGCCTCTTAACCATTTAACATGTGTAAAACTGTGCTGTTGTTTTCATTAGGTTCCTAACTTTTTTAGTAGGTCGCTGCTGATTTTTTTTTTTGCCCTGACCTCATTTTCCCCATAAGCCCCATGGCTGTGGGAATTTGCACAATTTTGGACAGCATGGTGAGTTTTTTGGAATTCATATGTTTTGTTATAACTGAACTGGTCGTACGTATTAATCAGTGAGTCTCAGAAGGAATACTAAAAGGTGTGTATGAGGGCGGTGCCTTCCATATGCTCAATACCCTGCAGCCTCTTAGGTTTTCAGATTTATATTCTCCCTCACGTGTGTGCACATGCACGCACACGCACGCCTATGCACATACATACGTACAGGAGCAGCCTGAAAAGCAGGCCTACGACCTTCTGATTGTGTAACTCTGACATCACTGAGTCACTGTAGGATTTTTCTTAGATGCAGAAAGTGTGTATCAGCTATTGCCATTTATCTTTGGTGTCCTATAGCTATCAGAAAAAGTGAAGTCATCAAATTGACTCGAAAGAAATGAGGCCATCTTAGACTGTTTTGTGATAACACTCTAGGTTTTAACTGTAACTTGCTGTTTTACTAATGATTCTTTGTTTTCTTCTTGATGCATCCATAGTTTCTGAACAGACATTACAGTCAGGTACAGTATAGAAAATCAATCGCTACATAAAAGCAACTTTTTCTTTACTTTTTTAAAGTTGATATTGTAAATAAATAAAGCTGTATAAATGGAAACTTTCTCTTCTTTTTCCCTCAGATTCTAGTGGCGTAAATTGATACCTTGTTTTAATCTGAAAAAAAATTTTAAGTTTGAGAAAACTAAGTCACTCCACTTAGAAGGAAATATACAGTGTTCTTTGTCATCCTGTAGGAAATGCTTAATTCCATTTAAATACAGCTCACCTAGTTTTAATTTCACTTTTATAATTCATTGAATAAACATTAGTGTTTTACCTTACTCTTACTATACTAATGGACAAACCCAGATGTAATGATTTTGGATTAATTTCAGAGTACTATCTATGACTACTCAACATATGTTTCTCACACATAATATTTGAAAAGGCATTGACTCATTTTCTCATACTGTGGATGAAATATTCTCTGTAATCACAAGACCTGCACTAAAATATGATCTGAAATATTTTAAAAAGCATCAAGATTGCTAACAGATTTAGAGTTATGTGTATAAGACCTAAAGGTCATTATTTTCTTGCCCTTCCTATTCATAGGAATCTCATGCCTTCATTTTCTGGACAAAGTTTACAATCTGGTCTTCAAACTTGAATCTGTGGTGAAGGGAACAAGAGCTAATGTCTTGCCAGAAATTTTGTGGAAAAAGACATTTTTTTCTTTCATTCACTTTAGATTTGGTATCACTTAAGATTTGTTTTGCTTATTGTTCTGAATGTGTTGAGAAACTTGGTTATTATTATTTTTTTTTTTTGGAGAAGGATAGAGGAAGAGACTGCTTCAGATATTTTTTTGAGTTATGTAATGAAATCTATTTTCTGAAATGATAGTATGGTGTTTAAGATGGACATCTGCTCGAACATACTCATTTCTTTCTATACTTTAAGGTGCCAGCCAGTTAAAAAAAAGCTAGGATTTTTCAAAACTTTCTTTTCCATTTATAAACTGATTTTGTTAGTTCACACAACATGGCAATTTGTTTTTGTTCACACAATTCATCATTTGTCTTCCTGGTTATTTTAAGCTGTTAAATCATTATAGAACTTGTGTTTTGATATAGAAAGGATTGCAGAAGTCATTTTCATAGTAGTAACAATGGCAATGACTTCAGTGATAAACACCAGTGATTCTTTATCTAGGTACAGCCAGCTTTTGATTAACCATACGAACAGACCTGAACAAATAATCTGCTTTCATACACGTAATCAAATCAGATAATAAGAGGGCTAAAAACCTGCATTTCTGCCCTTGGGATCAAAGATGGTACTAAGATGACATTTGTCTTTTTGACTCTCATTTTTGCTATATTTTGGTATCATAAAATAAATAATATAATAAAATAAGATCATGTGGCAAAAGGTGAGACTCATTTTGAAATTCTTTTCCTCTTACCAGTTAACTGCCAGTTAAGTGCATGTTCTCTTATTTTACGTGAAGGTCCTTTTCAGGTTCTATCCACCTTAAGTGCCAAAAATTTAACTTAACCAAAATGAAATGTGGTTTAGGAGGAAGAAAGATAGGTAGTAGTCAAAAAATATGCAGGAAAGGAGATTGAAGATCCAAAATGTATGGAACATTCATTCATTTAACAATTATTTATTGAGCACTTACTATGTACTAGGCACTCCTAGTCACTAAGACGTTGCAGTAAACAAAGTAGACCAACATTTCTGCCCTCATGGAGCTTTCATAAAATGCATAGTTTATAAAATATATAGTTCATAAATGGTGATAAATGCTACAGAAAAAAATCAAGGAGGGGATATGGAAGGTTAGGGACAATGCAATTTTAATAAGATGATCGGGAAAAGC